CACACACACACACACACACACACACACACACACACACACACACACAAAGAAAGATAATACAAGGAGAGAAAAGAAAAAGAGAAAATTTGATACCACAAATACATCATAACAGCATTATTATTATTTACATAAATGTAGTGAGAGTTGTATGACCACTGCTGAAAAAGCTGAAATTTCCTTTTTTTAACAACCGAAAAAAGTTGAACACTAAGAGCTAAAATAACTCAAATCCTAGCTAAACAATAAGAGTGGCTAAAGGCTATCTGAAAGCAAGAAGTTACAAAATAGCGGAAGCATAAAGTAGCGATAAAATAGGTAAACAATAGAAATAGCAAAAGCTAGTTAAATGCTAAAAAAGCGCAAGGTTAGCCTAATGTTCCAAACTAATAGCTGAAACCAAAAAGCTTATAGTTAAAGTAGTAAAAGGCCACTTAAAATCTGTTAGTAGCAAAATGGTATCTAGAAACACAAAGCAGCAAMAGTCTAGCTATGTCAACAGTATCAATAGGCTAGCTAAATGCTAAAAGTAGAAATAAACTAGCGAAATGCTAGAAAAAGTTTCAATAACCTAGCCTAAAGTTTCAAAATAACTTAAGTAGTAAGGCAACTAAAAATATACAAGTAGCAAAATGGTACCTAGGAGCTTAATGTTGGGAAAGGTGAGCTAAATGCTAAAAGTAGCAAAAGACTAGAAAAATGATTAAAAAACAAGCAAAATGACAGGCTAAAATACCAAAAAGCTCACTAAAAGCAACTGATATAACTAAAAAATTAAAAGTTGTCAAAGGCTAGATAAAAGATAAAAGTAGCAATAAACTAGCTAAATGCTAAAAGTAGCAATAAACTAGCTAAGTGCTAAAAGTAGCCATAAACTAGCTAAATGTTAGAAAAAGTAGCATTAACCTAGCCTAAGGTTCCAAAAGGGGAGCTAAATAGTAACAAAATAACTTAAGTAGCAAAAGGGTACCTAGGAGCTTAATGTTGGGAAAGGTGAGCTAAACGCTAAAAGTAGCAAAAGGCTGGAAAAATTATTAAAAAACAAGCAAAATGACATGCTAATATACCAAAAAGCTCACTAAAAGCAACAGATATAACTAAAAATTAAAAGTTGTAAAAGGCTAGATAAAAGATAAAAGTAGTAATAAACTAGCTAAATGCTAAAAGTAGCAATAAACTAGCTAAATGCTAGAAAAAGTAGCATTAACCTAGCCTAAAGTTTCAAAAGGGTAGCTAAATAGTAACAAAATAACTTAAGTAGTAAGGCAATTAAAAATCTACAAGTAGCAAAATGATAGGCTAAAATACCAAAATGCTCACTAAAAGCAACAGATATAACTAAAAAATTAAAAGTAGCAAAATGATAGGCTAAAATACCAAAAAGTTCACTAAAAGCAACAGATATAACTAAAAATTAGAAGTTGTAAAAGGCTAGATAAAAGATAAAAGTAGCAATAAACTAGCTAAATGCTAGACGTAGCAAAACTTAACTAAATGCTAACAGAAGCAAAACGTTAGCCTAATGCTACGACGGGCTAGCTGAAACCAAATAGCTTATAAAAGTAGTAAAAAAGCTACCCTAAAAGCTGCTGAATATTAACTAGAAGCTTAAAGTAGATGTTTAGCTATATGATAAAAGTAGCAAAGGACTAGCTAAATACTAATAGTAGCAATAAATTAGCTAAATGCTAGACAAAGTAGCAATAATCAAGCATAATATTTCAAAAGGGTAGCCAAAAATTATTAAAATATGTTGGTAGTAAAAGACAGTAGTAAATTGGTAGCTAGAAGCTTAAAGTAGCCAAAGGCTAACGATGCTAAAAAAGTGAGAAAAATGCTAGGGTAATGTTCCAAAACGGCTAAAATTTAAAGTGGTAAAAGGTCGGCTAAGTCTAGTTTGCTAAAGTAGTTTTCCATGAGGGTAATGTTTTTGACGGCCGAACATTTTATATTATGAACGGTTAAAATAGACAAAATATGCAGAAATAGTAAGTTTTCAAAAAAATGTGCAAGAAGAAAAAACCGAAAAAGAAAAGTGAACGATGTCTCAGTGTTTACACATTATGTTTTTATTTAACTGAGGATACTTATAGAAATAAGACAAGCTGAAATAGAATAATGACAACAAATATTGGAGTAAATATTTAATTACATCTTTTAAAATAACAAAGCAATCAGTTTGTTTTTGAAAGAAATAAATTCTGGCCTGTTTGCAGCTGCTCCTCCTCACTTCACCGCACTGATGGGAACTCAAATTTGGAAAATGTCTTTAGCTCGTTGCTCATCTCCAGGACAAATTAAATGGAATCAATTTATCAGACATGATTCATGCTCCACACAGATTCCTGTTTATCTCGGCTGTGATTGATGGAGATCGTTACGATGATTGAATTTTCTCTAAATGTGTTCGTGTGACAGCCGTCTGGCTTCCCTGTRTCCGACCCTCCGTGGCTCTGCCGGCTACAGGAAAACATGAAAACATGTCCGATTGGACGTGCAGAGGAGAGGTGAAGCTGCAGGATACAAAACTCAAAGATGCACATGACGTATTTTCTCTTCTGTGCATAAATACACCCCGCCCCCACATGTTTAATGGGGTTCATGTAGCAAAATTGCAGAAAGACGAGACTTGTGARAGCAAAGATAAGAATAAAACAGCATAAGAAATGACTTGATTACATTAACACACAAACAAAACTCCTGTTTGTAGCTGGATTTCTCATTTAGTCTCTGATGGTTACATAACACTGAACATCCTATAAATAACCGCAGTTCCACTGGTTCTCCTGGGTTTCCTTAACTTGTGAAGCAGGTGCAAATAAAACCCTAGTTGCAGGTGAGTTGCTGCTTTTTACAACGGCAAAGCGACATTATTACAAAGGGACATTTTGCAGATTAAAAAAAAGGAGCAAATCTCCGCAAAAAAATYGGAAATTTTGAGATTAATTTCAGAAACTTTCAAAATAAAAACAAGAAAATTCGTTGAGCTCCAACAGTCGTAAATTTTCGGGAAATTTTTCAGAATTTCTGGGGTTAATTTCAGAAATTTTGAAGAAAAAAAACAGGAAATTCTCTTATGTAGAAAAGTCGTAGATTTGCAAGAAAAAAACCCTGAAATTTCAATAATTAAAATTTTCGATATTTAAACAATATTTTCTGTCATTTTAAAGTCGGAAATAGACAAGAATTGAATTTTTCACGAAGGGCCAAAGGGCGATTCCACCTGTTTTCGCCACCTTGAGCATTTTCAACTGTAATTATTAGGTGTGTAAGAAAATATCGATGCACTGAAATATCGCGATATTTCATTTCCCGATACTGTATCGATATTCTAAAGCCCTGTATCGATTTTTAATTAAGGTTTAAAATGTCAACCTTCTTGCCAGATGTTCATTTTTATGTTGTAGTTCAGCCTCTGACCACTAGTTGGCAGCAGTGAGCCAGACATTTGGCTCCTCTACCTCTTGAGCGCCAGAGAGTAAGGGTAGCATTAGCATTGTAAGTAAACATTAGCTTTTCTTTTTTTTATTTCAGTAAGAGGTTTATATTTAATAGAATTTTTGGACAAAAAAAAATCACAATAAATTGCCTTGTTTACAGTATCGCAATATATCGGGATATATCATATCGTGACCCCTCTGTTATGATATGTATCGTATCGCCAAATTCTTGCCAATACACAGCCCTAGTAATTATAAAACAAAACACAGAGACCTTGAACCTGGACGACTTTTTTTTCTCGCAAATTTACGACTTTTGGAGCTCAGAGGATTTCTTCGTTTTTTTTCTTGAAAATTTCTGAAATCTCAAAATTTCAGAGTTTTTTGGCGGAGATTTGCTCCCCATTTTTTATCTTGCAAAGTAGCCCTAATCTGCCATCATAGCTTTTGATGGCAGAATTTTAAACTAGAAGTATTTTTTTGCAGAGAAAGGCTGAAGTTGACTGAACATAACGTAGCTGTGGTAGTTCTCGGCTGGTATCTGTGTTCTCATCAGAAGGAAGAGGAAGTCCATTCAGTGAGCTGGACCAGTCTGGAGATGCTCTCCTGTCACTCGCACTAAGTGCTGATTCTGGAGGAGTTTAAAAGCTCCCACAATCCACCTCATGGCACTCAGCGCCGTGAGGCCTGGAAACCCCATAAAGTCTATTTTTACAAGGTGGCAGGGCATAAAAACAAGGAGAAAACAGGGTCGTTTCTTGGCAACAAGCCCAACAAACTTCTTTTTTGTTTTTTCCTCTTCGCCCTCTTTCTTCGCTCTTGGAGGTTTGGCGTGTGTCTTCGTGTGTCGGGGACTAAAAATGTTTTTTTTAAACGTGTCTGTTTGAAGCCGCGTGGTCTGGAGAGCCGGTCCCTGTCTGCCATCACCCATGTCCACTTACACACAATCCAGGCCACAGTGGGAACGAAGAGGGGATTACGAGTCCGTCTGATCCTGGAGGGCCACGCACTTAACACTACTGTAAACAACGGGGCCATTAGAGTGGCTCACACTGGGCTGAACTGTAGAG